GTTAAGCTTCAGATTGGTCAAAAACTGGTATTGGGTTCTGGCTGTTCCAAAAACACTGCACTTGTCCTGGACAAGAACCCTTTTGCTGTACCTCAGGCTGGAAAATAACGCTCGTCGGGAGTAGGTTTACCCACCCAGCAAAATCAAGATATGCACCAATAGAAGGTGAGGCTCTTGCTGTAGCAGACGCCTTAGATAAGGCCAGATACTTTGTCCTTGGATATAAAAACCTCATCATTGCAGTTGACCACAAGCCACTCTTAAAGACACTTCGAGACAGATCCCTAGAGGATATTCCAAATTCCCGCCTCCGGAACCTGAAAGAAAAAACACTCCGTTACCGCCTTGGTGTAACCCATATACCAGGTGTGAAGCACCGTGCAGCTGACTGCCTCTCACGCCACCCAGCAGGAAAACCCGAGCAACTCCACTTACCTGATGACATAGCTTCCATCAGCTATGCTCTTCCACCATCCTATTTCCTTGCTGGTATACGCTCCAACGATGACCCTGACAGCATGGAGGATAACTTAGTTGCTGCAGCAAACACAATGCTGGACTCTATCCATTCAATCAGTAACGTGGGACAGAGTTCGCATAGCCACTACAAGTGATGCGATCATGCAGCATCTACTTTAACTCATTGAATCAGGATTGCCAGAGACCAGACTTGAATTTCCCCCTGCCCTACGGGAATACTTTCAGTTTCGAGAACATCTCCACGCTTTAGACGGAGTCATCCTCTACAAGGACCGCATCGTTATACCACCCTCACTTAGGCGGGAGATCCTATCAGTCCTACACTCTGCCCATCAAGGGGTAACTGCGATGATTTCCAGAGCTGAAGCCTCCATCTTCTGGCCAGGAATTACGCCCGATATCACTTCTCTTCGTGCACAGTGCATTCAGTCTAACCGCAATGCATCATCCAACCCTAGCGCTCCACCAACCCCACTTATTTCCCCAGACTATCCATTCCAATGTCTTTGTGCTGACTTTTTCCACTACAGGGGGACAAATTACCTTGTCATTGTTGACAGATATTCCAACTGGCCGATAGTCGAGAAGTCGTCCGAGGGAGCAGCTGGTCTGATCAGTTGTCTTAGGCGCACATTCGTTACCTTCGGCATCCCAAATGAACTCGCCACAGACGGTGGTCCAGAATTCACAGCTACAATTACACGTCGCTTCCTAAAGGATTGGGGTGTACATCACCGAGCACTGTCTGTAGCATTCCCACACAGCAATTGCCGAGCGGAAGTTGGAGTGAAAACAGTGAAACGCCTTATCACAGACAACACGGCTCCTAATGGTGACCTAAACACTGACCTGTTCCAACGTGCAATGCTCCAGTACAGAAAAACACCTGACAGGGACACCAAGTTGTCTCCAGCTATGTGTGTGTTCAATCACCCTATCCGGGACTTCATCCCCATCCCACCGGGAAAATACAAGCCTCACAACACTTGGCAGGAGACTATGGTTGCCAGAGAAGAGGCTCTTCGCATCCGCCACATGCGTTCAGCAGAACGCTGGATGGAACATACCAGGCGCCTTCCACCACTCAGCATAGGTGACCACGTCCGCATCCAGAACCAAACAGGCCCGCATCCTTTAAAATGGGACAAGACAGGAATTGTCATAGAAGTCCGTCAGTTTGACCAATATGTTGTCAAAATGGATGGCTCAGGCAGGGTTACCATAAGAAACAGAAAGTTCTTAAGGAAATTTATACCTGTGAGAACACCTGTACCTACCAGACGATCGACACTGATTTACTCCACAAGACAACATGCAGGTCTCCACGGGAACAACATAAAGAACTTCCCCATGACACAGGGCCAGTTGCCAATCCATCATTAAACCATAATGACAAAACACCAGTGCCTACCCAGACACCTACAAAACCTCGTCCCGTCACACCCCCCTCGCCAATGGTTCCTGTTGAAAAGGAAGTTGGTCCGCTGCTTCTCGCATTGCCTGCAACCCGAGAACCCCGGCGCTTGTTCTCCAATAATGACACAGAGTTCCATAAGGAAACCAACGATACGACAAGTCCTCCAGCAGCTGAGTCCGAGCTAGCACCTCGCTGTTCTGGACGCGTAAGACATGCCCCAAAATGACTATGAAATGTAGTAGCTTTTGACTCTCAGTCTTTTTCTTTAATTTCATTTCCCAAAAGACTTGGGGGGGGGGGGGAGATAGAGGGTTATCGGACTTTTCCGGAATTTAGATTCTTTGTCATACTTGTTTTATCTTTTATTTTATCGAGGACACATGCTTTCCTAGGTATGCATAGTATGCATGTTTACTTATAGATCATTTGAGAATTCCATCATTTTGTACTCATTGAATTTACTATTCTTGTTTACTGTTTCAGATGACTATGTTCATTGTTATTAAAGTCGATCCCAGAAACAAATAGACATAGTTCGTATCTAGTTATAAAGCAAAGAAACAAGTGTATAGTTATGATCAGCAAGGATGCTTTTACAAAATTTATAAAACTTGTGGTCCAAGGGGTTCTGTTGTGTCGGGGGGGGGGGGGGGCTCTATTGATAATATAGTGAAAATGGGTGAATTCTTTGAAAATCTTCAACTACATGTAATTGCATACTTACGATGATGAGGGTACCTCTTCCAAATATGTCAACTTCATGACCCTGGGTCATGGGTTCTGGTGTTATAAAACTACCCTACAAGTAGAACTCTTCAGCATGCAGTGTTTAGAGCTTCCTTAATCGTACTATTTTTCTTGCTTTTTTGCAACAAAGCTTCATTATCAGTTTATGGATCCTCAAAATTATTGTACTCAGGTGACCGTTAAGGCCCTTGGGCCTCTTGTTTAACAAAGACACTTCAAATATAGGCTTCCAGTCTTATAATTACTAGATGGTCAGTTGTTTTTCGCTTGATTTCTAAAACCGCATTGTACATTTGTTAGATTCTAATATTATACTTTAATGTAAATTAGTTGAATCTCATTCGACAAGAGACATTTGTTAAAAAACACTATTACCCGCTGAATGATGAAGCTACGCCCTCCAGCGTAGCAACAGTCAACATTGCTTGACGACGGGTGATATTCCAAAAAATAGTGACTGCGCAGAATTTATGCGCGCAAGGTTCACTGTTATATGTTTTGGTATAAAACATTCAGTATAACATAATAAATATTGCATGTAGTTGAGTGTAACATTGAAAATTTTCACCCAAGGAAAACCATTGTCAACCGAGGCGCATAATAGAATGTTTTTATTATTTGTGGTATTATAAGTAGGTTTCATACTGCAAAATGCAGGCATTTTCTAGCAAAGTATTTTCGCTTTCTTAGGGTATAAATTCATATGTTTAGAAAAATACTAGTTGTTGGTCCAGACTATTTACCAAGGCTTTTTAGGTATTCAGTCACCTCTGTTATATGTAGAATTAGAAGTTGATTTCATACAATCTATCAAATTATCTCCTCTTCTTTAAAGCTGAATACGATTCGTAAAATGCAGAAATCTATGTTTGTCTGCCATATAACTTTTGCTTTTCCGTTAAGATAACCAAACAAACACGTTTCGTCCATTCCATGGAGGTACTTGTATCCGTGACAAGAAAGCAGCCAGGTGTAACGAATGTACTTTATTATCGTTGAGAACTTGTTGTTGAAATGACAATAAATGGTAAATATATTCTTTTAAGCCTTCTTCTCCAATGAATGAGTAATAAAGACCTGCTGTATTAAATCATCATACGTACCTACACTGAGATACACTAATCATTTGTATATTGTATTTGGAATATTTTCTGTGGTGAAAAATGACCTCCTTAATATTGGTTTTGTTGCAAGAGAGGTAACAAAACGATACAATGTTTGATAAGCTCTCCCATGCCCAACTATATTAATTAGAATGAACTTTCCCTCAAAATTCCCGAGTTTGATATAGTCTTAATATGAACCATGGGGTAATGGTCGGGCTAAATTTGAAGATTTTGTCTTGTTTTGTTAATGTCAAAATTGGTCATAGAAGATACAGGTGATTTTTGTTTTTTTAAGAAAAAAAAAAATACCAACGAAATTTCCCATCACATTGACATCAATAAATAAAATTACACAGAACACAAATTTAAATACATGTATTGGCAACATCAGTATCAATTTCTGTAAATATAACTTTGTAGGTAAAATACATTGTTTTGGACATATTTTATAGAATACATCAAAAGGATTGGAAACAAGTTCTATAACTTACTAAGTTCCTCTCCTATAATATTACAAAATAATACAATTGATACAAGTGAAAAAGCAATTAAATAACATATCAACTAGAGAATCTCTATGTTTCGTCAATAAATTTATGAACAGCAGCAGAAATACTATTATTTATCTATGAAGGCATTAAATTAACATCACCACATAATAATAGATTTATTAGTAACCAGTTCAAGCATGAACAAGCGATTAAAGAGAGTACTTCTTGCTATAGAATAATTTTTGCATGCAAAAAGGAGTGGTGCACATCTCCATTTTTTCCACATAAACATAAGGGACTATTTATAATGTTTCGTTTATATAGATCATGGTTTAATATAGAGCAATGTCTTATATAAATGATATTGGTATATCGCTTACCAAAGGAAAAGTATGATATACGTTTGATACCTCATGTGAAAACTGTATATATAGTCCTATCAATCTAGTGAAAATATGGGCCCAACATCAAACTAATTGCAACACAAATTCATTTTTCATGAATCCAACATTTACAAAATATTTCTTGTAAAAAAAATCTTAAGAAATCAAATAAGCGGAAAGCATAATTGTTGCTCAACTAGCTAAGGGAATTACTAAAGAAAAGGGGTATAACTCTGTAAATTAATCCAATGTTTCCCCGAAGTAATTAGGAGAAAATTCTTGTTTTCTCAGAAGTTATAATCTGATTCAATCTTTTTTTTGATACAATTTAAAAGATCATTATTTCACATAGATGATATAAATTTGAAATGGTTATTCTAAATTTAATTTCATAATTTTTGTTAATTTTTAAATATTAGCATTTATAACTCATAGTGAATACATTAAAAAAAGAATAAAAATAAATGTCTCCTAGATTAATATTTTAATTATTTTATTTAGTATATAAATGGACTTTTGCGAGAAGCACTGACTTTTACAGTCGACGTCTTTCTTTGACATTTAAACCTGCCTTATGTACGGAGGTACGGAATCGATAATAGACAAGAAAACCTTAATAGTGGTTATAGGTACATGTATAGTGTAAGGGGCACTTACATGATTTACCGGTATGCAATCGACGCAAGAGATGATGGGCTGGGGGGAGGCGAATTACATAACTTAATTTACCTTATTTGTAAGGGATTGTATCTCCTTTCAATATCATTTTCTAAAGGAATCAAATAAAGAAGAATAAACATTCTGGAAGGAAAACTAAGCAAGAGTTGGTCAATGTGGGAAGGGAGGGGGTTGAGGGTAGGGTGGTTGCCGTTCCCTTCCTAGACAGCTTAATATGTATTTTGAAACAACCCATTATTTACCATTTAATTAACTGTTTAGCTTAATATTTATATCACAAGAGTTTTCGTATATTGTCCTAGTGTAAAAGTAAGCCGTCGATTGTAAAAGTCAGCGCTTCTCGCAAAAGTCCAATTATAGTAATTAGAATAATAAAAACATTTAGAGACTAAACATGACATGTTTGATAACCTACACTATTTTGAGACAAGGAAATGCAACGTCATTCTGACCTAAATATCTGTAAACAATTTTCTTCGAGTATAAAAAGGTTTTACTGCATTTATGAACGTAATCAATACACAGATTAGTTCACTTCTTCTTTCTTGAAGATTAAAAAATGCATCATGCAAAATTTACTTAATTGACAAGAGTTACGTACCGCCTTACCTATTTTATTTAATTTTCATAGAAATTTTATGTTCCCCCATATAATGATTTCCTCTCATCCAGTTTTGTTAGATTTTTATTACATTTATTTTTTGCGTTCTAGAGTTTACTTAGAAGAAAGTGTGTTGCAATTAGTGTGCTGTTTAATGATAAAATGACCGGACTCATATATACATGTAACAATGATTGACAAAATGTTCTTATCTGCAGATATAACTATTGCTACAATGCAATCTTATTCATATAAGAATTTTGATTTGAGTTTTAAATCAGCCATTTTTCTTTGGAACAATCGGTCGAACTCTTCATTCTGTGCTACGGTAAAATGGTTTTTCCAGTCTCCAACCTCACCTAAATGGGGAAAACACACACGTTTATAATTTTCATCAAAATAAAGGTAAGGAAAAGTTGATTTCAATCGTCAATTATTAGCTAAACGTATATCATGATGTTATTTTTGCAGAACAGACTTATCAAGTGGCGGCATTTGTTAAAAAATAGTTTTCTGTAAGCTCTAGAATTGTTTGTCATGAAAATGGTGCGAAGTACATTGTACCTATCATTAAATTTCTTTCCTACCGGGCACCTCTTAATAAGCCTTATTTTTATTGTCACTATAATTTGTCCAAATGTTAAAACCCATGATATACATATTTGTCAATCATTAGCTTGTCAAAAGTCATGCACTTGCTTTTCTAATCTACTTAAACTAAATATTGAAGATATATTGCTTAGGATCAACTCTAGTTAAATTTCCCTCAGGCGTTTATTAATATATGGTCTCCGCAATGCAATTATACATCTAAACTTGCCTTTTCTATAGTGGCTCATTTTAGATTCTGTCTTCTTGACTGTGTAATGAGCTTTTTTTAAATTATCAAATCCACATTTGTGAGCAATGCTTTCTAACAAGGTGTCTGTACATTTCACTTCCAAAAATTTCGCCAACAAGCGAATTTCTTCGACTGGTTTCTGTAAAAAAGGAATAAAGAATTAGCTGCAATAATGTAGCCCTCTCAATATTATTAAGAAAAAGGAGGGGGACGGCTAAAGCTCCATAAGATCTCCGTCATGGCGCAAATGTGGGAGTTAATTCGCTACCGCTCGGAGTTTTAGCTCAAATTGGTCATCTGAGTAATCTCAGGTGACCAATTGCTATCTGTTTTCGTCCGTCGTCATGCGTTAACATTCGCACATTTTCAGCTTCTTCAATTCTCTTAAACCGCTCAACCATATTAGGCATATAACATCTATGGGTGAAGGGGAACAAAAATTGTGAATTTCATGGTCCCTGCCCCACTGAAGCCTGAGGGGTGGGGCGAATTGCCAATTTAAGAGATCCTGTTTAACAACGATGTGGATATCTTTAGATACAGGTTAATAATTAACTTCGATGTACATCATTTTAAAGAAAGGCAAATTAAATATCAAATTCTTTTTTATTTATCTATGTTTTTTATTTTGTCATAAAGACACATACTGAAAGGCAGATTGAATATTCTATGGAAGCAACCGTTGGTTTCATGATTGAAATTAAAACAAAAGGCTGGAAAGAACTATGTTTCAAAGGCCCACAATATATATATATATATATATATATATATATATATATATATATATATATATATATATATATATATATATATGTATATACACAAACTATGTATATTTACCTGAAGATTGGGGTTTTTTTGTATTTTGTTTAATATTTAACGTCTCTTTGAGAATTTTTCCACTCGTATTGCGACGCCAATACTTGCCAGTGAAGGATTGCAAATTTAGACCGGTACTTGGTACTGTGGCCTTTGGGCAGTGAGGGAACTTTTTCGTGTCAACACATACTGCGAGCCCGACCTCGATTAATTAATGTACTATCTTATCCGAAGACCGGTCTCCACGTCACACAGTGGATTCGAACTCACTTGAACTTTCTCCGCGATACTAGAGCAAACACTCTCCCCACAGAGGATTCGTAAATAAATTTAAATGTGCATAACAAAATTTCGACAGTACATGTACGTTAATAAGATTTTTTTTTGAAGGGTTTGAAAAATTCTGAATATTGTTTGATAAAATGTTAAGCATCTAACGGATAGTAATGTTTTTAATATCGTCAAAACATCAGGAAAATTAACATTTAACTGAGCTTGACAAAGATTGTTAAATTTGATTGGGTAATCAGCTATCCCATATTCCTTACATAAGTCGGTTTTAAAAATTGGGCTCATGGCCGAGTGCTTTGTCACAATTTTTTTTATTTCCCCGGTAATCGGTTGGTATTATGACACTACATGTGTACCATAATAAATTAGATATTTTCTGCATAAAACTGATCAATAACAATACAGTGTCTTCAATAATTTGAGTTAATAATGACAAAATAAAATTGAGTCAAAGAACTCGTAGCTTTTAAAAATGAAAGACGTATAACTCTTCGACAAGACTTGTTTCTATATGTACACTTTCATGCATTTTAACTTTTTTTTAAAAGCCATTTTTGTTTTCAAAAAGGAAAGCGCGGATAGGCCTAGGAAAATCTCCTGAAACAATGATCTTCTTTGTAAGGAATTAAAATTCATTTATATTCTTAAGTCATTTGCATTTTTAATCATTTATACATAAGGTGTATATCAAAAAAGTGCTTTTAAAAAGTGCTTTAGTATTGATATCAGAAGGATGCTAAATATTGCAGATTTTGTCATTCCTCGCAATCTTTTAGCGTATAAATTGCCCTTGAAAGAATCTATATATTATAAAATATGGAAAAAACGAAGCGTATTCAAGCTCAAAGTCCATTCAAAAGATTTACAAATCAGGAGCAGAGCAAACACGGACTTCTAAAACATCAGAGGTGGGAAAAGGTGCCATGGAGGAGTGAGCATCACCTGCCGACCGATCACACCTGCTGTGTGCTCCTTGTTATGATTGGGGGAAAATGCAAAAATCTGAAGACAATTCAGTGTGTAAAAATGACCTAACAACAACCAAAAAAAAAAAAAAAAAAAAAAAAAAAAAATTGGTACTCAAGGGACTTCCGACAGGTTGTTGGAAGACCTGTTCTCCAAAAACTGCATGCCATTGGATATTGTCCGAAGTTGCTATTGATGTATTGCATTAAGAAAGGCTAATATTTCACTTAGTAAACTTTATTATAATAACTTTCATTGAACTTAAAATTGTTGTCTAAATAGCAAATTCTCATTTCTTATCTTTTTAGAATCCACAGATGTTAAACGACGATTTTAATGGAAACGCGATATTCTATTACATATCGCCTTTCCACAGAGTCAATTTTCTCTGTAGCCCCAGTATTATTGGAGTTTCAAATGCATCTTTAAATGCACCTTCTAAAGATAGACTGTTCGGGAAGTTATCAAGATAACTCATGTCAAAATCATTTAAAAATTATTCAAGCCTTCTTGATTCAAATTTATGAAGTTCGAACAAGGTCTGGTAATAGTTGCACTAGGTGCATTAGGGCTAAAACCCTTTTCCATAACATCGGCGTTATGATCTGAAATGGGCGCCGTACATTGACCAACATATGTCAATTTTTTTAACCAACTCATATAAACAAGAAATATACATGTATTACAGTATCGAGTCAAAACCTAGAGTAGATTTTTATGAATCAGTGTCGCAGACCGGTTTTTTAAGACGATTTCATGCTTGTATCAGACAAATATCTTTTAACACCTGACTGAATGACACCAGATTTTCCTCTCATATTACCCTTAGACCCAGTCTGCATTATATCCATGTTATCAGGGTTAATCTGGCAAAATTATCATCACCTTATTCCCCGAGCGATAATACATCGGCTCTGACATGTTGCTACATCCGTACATTTAATGTCAATACCTGTGGTACACCGGTAAAGGAAAATAAAATTACCCGTTTTACAAACTATCAGAACACGTTGTAATCGGTACCCCCCCCCCCATATATATATATATATATATATATATATATATATATATATATATATATATATATATATATATATATATATATATATATATATATATATATATATATATATATATATATATATATATATAAACCTCGTTATCTCTAACTCAATCGGTACGTGAAAAAACTTGGACATATCCTACTATTCGAGATATCTAGTGTAAAATAAAGAATAAGAGACTGGAACTTCGACATATCCATTGTATTCGAGACACCAGTGTTCGAGATACCGAGTTCAACTGTATATGTATAGACATTTTTGGCCCCCTTTTTTCATCTATTTATTTCAATTTGGAGATAAGAATTTTGTATACAGATGTATGAAGACCGGTCGATGACATATTGTCGGACATTTCTCTCAGAATACAACCTCACCGAAACATTTTTGCTTCAAATTCATTCCAACATGACTCATATATATATGTATCAAAATGTTTTGCACTAAATTCGTAGCTTCAATTTTAAAAAAATGTCAGCAAGAGCGAAATAGAAAGGGAAAAAAACCTACGCAATGAAACATAACTTTAATGTTGGGAAACTTGTACTCTAAATATAACATATATCTATTAGTTTAACCACTAAATAATTGCTTTCATTACACTACAGAGTCTGTCATTTCTGATTCATATCTGGATGTTTTACTGACTATAGATAGAAATGTAATGACCAACTATTAACTTAAAGCAATATGAGCTGCATTTTTGGGAATTTTTTCTTGCTGTTAAAATGTGTTATTATAAATTTGTATGTAATTTAAACATTAATGATTAATTAGACTAAAATAAAATATTAAACTGTTTTAGAAGAAAGACTTTCTTACAATTAATCAAATATATATTATTATATAAGAAATTAATATTGTACAGGACGACAATAAATGTTATTTTGCCTCAATCAAAGTTTATAAATAGTTTTTTCATCGCAAATATAAACAACAGAAGTTTATAAATGTTCTTTTTTCTGTCATTGAAAAAGTTAATTACAATTTTGCAACAAAAATTGTTTTAACTCATATTGCTTTAACTGTATGACAAACGAGATGATTTCAGCTTTACAATCGTCACCTTCATGTAGTGATATTCCAACCTCACCTGCAGATATGGTTTATGTCTCCCAACTGATTTGATATGCAAGAGCATGCTTTGAGAAGTATCAATTTTTAAACCGAATCAGACAAAACAGCGCACATGTACGTTACAAGAATTTCAACAGCCCTGTTTACCTTGACGTCAGCCGTTCGCAAATTCTACGTTCGTTATAATGACCTGTTTCTTTCCATATAAATTTTACTTACATTTGACATAGAAGTGAATATTTCAAAATATAGACATGTAATGGTGACTCATTACTTTGTAATGTGAGAATGTGAAAATTTGTAATGTGAAAGTGAGAATGGGTATATCATTTTGCATGTGAAGTATGTTCCATTGGACTTCTATAAATCGTCCTCTCAAAAAAAAAAATGAACAAGATTCATTCCATTAATCAAAAATGTTATATTAAGCTAAAAATTTCTTGCAGTTATTGGAATTGATCAATAGAGATCACATAATAATAAGAGTAACAGAACATTTCAGTGCAAACATTGAAGTCTTCTGACGTCATAACGTTATAGTGTCATATTCTGAAGAAAACTGTCTTTATTTGTGGTTTGAGATAATGTAAAGAAAATTGAATTGAATTAAAAAGAGGATGTGGACCTGTTTCCAGAAAGTCATCAGATATAGGGATAGGGCCGATTTTGGTACTTGCGTACCTTGTTTTTTTTTCTATGTGTGTATGTCTGCAAATATGTATTAATAAAAAACGTCAACAGAAGTTCAAGTGAATACTTGGGCAACCCCCCCCCCCCCCAAAAAAAAACAAACAAACAAACAAAAGAAAAAAAAACTATAGTTATCATTGAAATTCAATCAAATACCTACTAATTTTAAATCCTCGTAATAAGTCACATGAATATTTTCATCGTCTCTATTAAAGCTCCTCTCGTATCCAAGCCAGCCTCCATATGATACGTCTGTAAAAAAGGATATATTTTAAAAAATCGAGTAATTTTAATATCGAAAAGGTAGACAAAACCTTAAAATTTGACTTACTTTGTCCAATAACCGAGTTTTCAAAAAACGTATTCCATTCCAATTCGATTCCAAAATTCTTTTGAAAGTAATAGAAGGACACGAACATATCTTTTGGATTTCTGATTACATGTATCACTTTCCTCTTGTTTTCTACATGAGATCTTGGAAGCCATCTATACGGCAAGTGTGTGTTAAGAATGCGTGGTGATGGCATTTTTTCCAGCTCACAAAAATCGTCCACAAATTCGAGAAATGCTGTTTCTTTTGTTTTTTGTGTGTAGTCATCTTGCTGTTTAAGTAGCATAGATGTAATTTCCCAGACCCAGTGGGTACCTACAATGGTAAACAAAATTCTGGTAAATTTATACTGTTAATGATAAAAATTTTGTCGAACAAAAATTTAAAAAAAAAAAAAAAAATAGAAAACTGGTCGCAATAGCCCACTGGTTTGGCGCTTGCTTCATGATTGGATTTTCCTGGTTTGTTTCTCGTTTGTCAAACCTAAGCATTTAACATATAAAGTAAGTGACTATTTACTCGCCAAGTACCCTGCATAATCAGTAAAAGTCACTGATCCTCAGGTGATACCTTAAAACAGAGGTAACGGTGGATTTTTGAACCATAAAAACCTTTTCACTGTAACAGTTATGCATAGATAAAACTTTCTGTCACTTCACCTAAAGCAGGTCAACACATAAGTGATTGATTGATTGTATGTTGTTTTAGGTTCCGTTCGAGAATTTTTCACTCATATAGAGACGTTACCATATACCTGTGAAGGGCTTCAAATTTTGACCTTTACTCGACAGTCAGTACACACACACACACACACACACACACACACACACACACACACACACACACACACACATATATATATATATATATATATATATATATATATATATATATATATATATATATATTTCCATTTCGTTTTGTTTTTTCGGTGATAACTCTTTGAAAGTTAGGAGAGTTGAATTCTTGATCATTCCACTCGAATGCAAATTTCGCCAAGCGAAAGGTCAGGAGCTATAAGAAGGCCTAATATGCATGTAATTCTTGTGCGGCGGTCTTTTCGTCTGATTCTAAGGAGGCCTAATATGCATGTAAATCTCGTGCGGCTGTCTTTGTGTTTGACGTCAGTGGGCGGGGACTATTGAAATTGACATGTGAGGCCTCGTGTAATTTAAATCTATTAGTCTACATTTTTAAAATCTAAATTTACAATTTTATTTCACAGTGAAATGGAAATATAAGGAATCACTGTTTAGTTAGTAGAGTATGCCAGGGACATCAACGATAGTTGGAAACGTGGGATAATTTATGCATAACTTCGCCCGTTATGCAAATTATCCCACGTTTCCAACTATCGTTGATGCCCTGGCATACTCTACTAACTAGACAGTGATTCCTTATCGTTGATGCCCTGGCATACTCTACTTACTAGACAGTGATTCCTTAAATATATATATATATATATATATATATATATATATATATATATATATATATATATATATATATATATATATACACAGCTGTATATATATTCGATATAAAGTTTCTACAACTTGGAACTGAAAGAACAGGGTACGAATTTCACATTATTTAGTTACAGTAATAACGCAAATAGTAAGAAAGAACTGTCATACACTGCAATTGCCCTTTGGACTAAGTGAAAATATTCAATAGATTTAAGCTCTCTCGGTTTTACAAATGCCTCTATAAAGCTGACTATTTGTATTCAGAAATAAATTTGATAGTATCATTCAGATGACCGTTGAACCCTAATAAGGACTGTACTAACCTGATCGAGGGAAAGCTGCAATTATCACGTCATTGGGGCGGCCTTCCAAATTTCTGATGGCGTTTAATCGGCCCTCGACGTCTTCTTTTAGCGGCTTCATTTCTGGTAGCTCCATTCCATCGAAAAAAATACCCCTCGTCTTGTTTTCTCCCATAGTGAAAGTACACAGTTGAGTTATTTGTAACGTAAACTTCCTTTTATCAAAATAGGTCGTGTGCATTGTTTACGTACCGGCCTTTATCTGTAATCCGATCGTATTTTGTTCCCATTAATTTATACAATGTACAAAAATTTCTCGATTAAACACAGCACCCCTACCTGATAAACATTTAACCTTTTTCTCTTAATTAAGTTCATTTAACACATACTTTATGAAGTGCTTTATTTGCTTTTTTTTAGTATATAGTAGTGATAGTTGCTATTCACTTAATTAACAATGCTACCTGTGTCGCCAACTTCTATTACTCTTCCTAATTTTAGATGCTGTTTTAATGACGTTTACAGATCTCTTTATCACTTTCATTCTATTCAGTATTTCAGATGACATTTGTAACAATCTGCATTCATCAGGAAGATTCTCATAATTCTCAGAATTGTCGGTTATAAGTAAGTTTTTACCTTTCTCAGTAAGATTATTTAGTTTGATTGATTGTTGTTTTACGTCCCATTCGAGAATTTTCACTCAGAGACGTCACCATATACCGGAGGTGCTGGCACGAAAAAGATCCCCCACTGCTCAATGGCCGTAAGTGCCGAGTATAGGACAAAATTTGCAGCTCTCCACCGGCAAGTGGTGGCGTCTCCAGATGAGTGAAAAATTCTCGATAGGGACCTTAAACAATATACAAACAAACAAAACAAACCATATACCGATGAAGGGCTTCAAATTTAGACCTATATTCAGCACTAGAGGCCATTGAGCACTGAGGGTTCTTTATTGTGTCAAGGCCTACCTCATGGGACCTCGGTTTTTAAGGTCTCATCCAGAGGACACGTCACTTTCACTTCTAATGCCCGGCGCATGGCGAAGGAACAGTTACGACTTATGTTTATGTCCTAAGATAAATGCGGTGTGGCAAAGGAAAACGGAACCCATGCTTCCCGCTCACGAATCGAACGCTCTATCAGAAGGCTACCGTGGCCGGTGATTATTAGTTTGAAAATCAAGTCAGATAAAGTGTTTAAGAGACAACTGTAATGGAGCAACCATGGTTCATTAATTTGAAAATCATACCAGATAAAGCGAGTAAGAGACAATACAATTGTATAGGAGCAGAACAATGGCAGGAGTTGTTTAAAGAAAACCATAATAGCAACCGATCGCAGGATAACAAGCAAAAAATATTAACATTTTAATTAAATTTATTTAACGATAGTAAATCATAATGTATTGTTAACAAAAACACCATAAACACATACATTCTCACGTGAAGAAATAATGTTTAGTAAGTACTGGAGTCGTTGATAATTTATTTTAAAAAAAAATAATTTTTACGAAACTAAGTCCTAAAAGTTCAAACCAAGATTCCCCCGATAAAGCATCATTTATTTCATTACATATAAATTTGGGGCAAAAGTCATGGTTTTATGTACTTTAAGACTTGTGTAACGACAAGCCGTGCTATATTCAACAGATTTGACGCATTAAAATTCTAAGAACCAAATGTCAATTTCTTCAAGACAGGTATCAAAGAATTTTCATATTCATTGAAAACTTTTAATATACATTCTTAATAAATAAGATAATAAGCAAGACATTTCTTTAATGTCTTACACTAAGGATTTAAATTAAGACAGGTAACAAACGAGTAGCATGATGACTTTGTAATAAATCTAAGATTAAAATGAAATAAATCAAAACTATCAATGAATAATAGTAAGGTAATGACAAGAGAAGGTTCTACTCTTTAGATGATAAGATCTAGAAAAATAATACCGTAAAGGACTGTGTTTCCTACAAGGTTCAAATCCTACTGGAAAACAAACAGTACTCAATTAAATTTAAATACAATAAAAGAATAAAAATAAAACCATCATATAAACACATCTCACTCATGTATGCAACATAAGATTAATATCCGGCCATAAATAGAGCGTTTAACATTTATTCTATCACATCTTCTCAATATATATATATATATATATATATATATATATATATATATATATATATATATATATATATATATATCATAATATCAAGTTTATGTTGATACAAAGAATCAAATCGGCTGCAAAAATGCACTTTGACTGCATCATATTTTTTTTTTGAAAGAAAAAATATCTTACACACATTAAATGTAGCATTAAAAACAATTTCTTCCAACTATTCATTCCCTCATAATTCTTGATTTGTAATCAATTTCAAAATTACCATGAGCCCCTTTTGCACCACTGTCCAGTAGGACATGCCAGTCAATGAAAATTACAGACTCCATGGGAAATTATGAGCCCCTTTCACCACCCAACTTCTTTACATTTGAAAATTCATGGAAAAAAATTCTTGTTTTCAATGCATTTTTAAAAAGTCTGTTTTTATCATACACATCCTGGGGCTTTTTAATTAAAATTTACAAACTTAATACAAACATTTCTTACAACATTGCTCTATTGAACAAAAAAATCCTTCCCACATTTTACTTTCTAAAATAAAAAAAAGGGTCTTCCTTTCCGACTCAGCTTTTCTACTTTATTCTTGAACCAGACCACTGATAGAGGAAATAGAAGACTGTGTCTGTGTTTTCTTGAAAAATACTCTCTGTTGTTACATCTCATTCTACATTACTTCCCCACACGAAGGCACTGAATAGTCTTTTGTAGAACAGAGCTTTTCCCCCACTAGATGATGCACAATCAACCAAAAAATGCAACCTACAGTGTGTAAAATGCACTATTATATATTTGTTATATAATACAGGGATTTTGCATCCCTGATATGAACACAGGCACGCGCCCTGTATTGCATACAATGCTTTATTAGATTTTAAAGAAAAAGATCATAAATATGCACGAAACATTCTTCAATGATTTTATGTGAACTCGCATATTAAGTATTTTAAATATATGATAAATAGAATACTACATACTGAAGTCCATATCATATGTCATATCAGCCCTCGGGCCCCATATCATAATACCATAATATGGGGTCACTCGGGCTGATATGACATATGAATGATATGGATTTTAGTGTGTATTATTATATAGTCTATAAATAGTCCCTATATAATCTATACAAACGCAAACAGTTCAAAATACTACATATTCACTGGATTTGAAGCCGAATTCACCGGAGGGTCAGTGCGCGTGCAGTGGCATTGTGACGTCACAATCAATACCTAAAACAACGTTGAAAACAATGGTTGCAACGGCCGGAGCCAGCTGTATATGCTGTATATCTGAGCGGGAAAACTTCTAGGCAAAGAGCTGGTTCACTTTGTGCATAAAATGGCCCTGTCCTAATATCAATTAATTGACTATCACCCTCTGTCCCATTTCATGTATCAAAATAAAGTAGAGACTTAGTGCTTTCATTTCCTATAACAAAATTTCTTTTTGAGAATCCAGGTATTGGAAAACAGGCTTTGAAAAAATGCAATGTTCTTGAATTTTGCAAAAAAAAATGCGTATTTGACTTCCTTTAGCAAAGAATTAAAATATGAGCACAGCCCACGATCCAAAAATTAAAATATGTTTTGTGATCTTCAGAAACAGATCTTTCATTATGCAATTGCATATTTTGGATCAGAGGTTGTGCTCTATATGAGATATTAAAAGAAAACGTCAACTTTTGGCCATTTTAAAGGGAATTTACTGGATATGGGGAAAATGACGCATTTTATGACGTCATAATGCATTGACTAGAGAGAAAATTACGTCATGTTCAATAGATACACGGTCACCAAGAGTCCAAGTTATAAATACTGCATTTTCAACCAAAACTGAGCAGTTTCGATTTTTCAGAAATTCTCAGGGCCAAAAAAGGCCCTAAGTGGCTCTTGCTCTTTCTTGAAGGATTATTTTCCAAACATTTCGATGTCTTACACACATCAAAAGGAAAACACGAAAGTTATAATCTGGACATTTTTTTTTTTTTTTCTACGACAGAAGTTTGTTAATGAAAATGGAGTCGTCATGCAGCCTTCAATGTCTTATTTATTCAAATGCTGACTATATAATAAAACAATTATGGACTCTTTCGGTGGTGAATATGGTTTGTTATTCACCAGAAAAATATCAATATTGACCTCGGCTTCACCTCGGTCAATATTGATATTTTTCTGGTGAATAACAATCCATATTCACCACCGAAAGAGTCCATAATTGCATAATATACTCTATTTATTATATATATGTTCACTATACTTTATAAAAAATGCACTGATTGAGCACGGCGTGATACGGATGACGTCACAATACCCCATATCAATGACCGGTCTGAAAATCCATATCACGTATCGGACCAGCGTGCAAAAATCCATATCAAACAGGAAATGACGTTTCAATAACTTTTGAAAGTTAATTATGTCGATAGTATTGAAATTTTAATGTAATATAACCCATGTAGTCAGATTTGTTGACTTGGTTATTTGTAAAATGACCACACAATTGATCAACTAGATTTTAAACGAAAAAGGTCAAAACATTCTTTAATGGCTTTAAGTAGACTCACAATCAACAGTGCGACATTTAAGTACTAACACGACATAGTCCGGACTTTTTACTACCATTTCTAATTGAGATATCAATGAAACATAAATATTTACTAGTCTAAGGTTGGATTTTCTAGCAGTATCACATAATCACATGTTGAACTCACAAGCTTATCTATTTTTGAAAAATATTAAAGGACTTATCGCATGCTCTTAAAAAATTGTAATTTTATGAAAAATATTATCTACAGCCCTATTTATTAAAATACTGCATTCAATAAACGTTGTTGTATGTATTTTAAGCGATACTGAGAGTTGAAATTCAAACACGGCGATATGCATATCGACGACTAAATACTGCTCTGACGTCATAGGCGACTATTCAGAGAGAGAGAGATGAGGAATTGCACACTGTTAAGGGAGTTATGAACGCAGTCTAATTACCATATATATATATATATATATATATACATGTATATATATATATA